TGTCCCCTCCCTGCAGTTTTAACCAAGCTGCCTTCTTCAGTCCACCAAGAACATGGAAAACAGATTATATTCTTTCCCCATTCAGCTGTTTTTTATGTATTTGAATATTGTGAACATTCCTGGTTCTCCAGAGTACATGGGATTTGTTTCTTCCACCCCAGAGTACAACACAGATCTGTTCAAAGCAGTAAATTTCCCTTATTAAAATCCTGTGGGGTCTTCAATATGAAAGAGAAATTGTCAGTTGATGTAAGTGAAAACATTTGGCGAGGGGAAGCTCTCAAATAAATAATAAAAAACCCCTCGTAGGAATTTGGAAGAAAAGGTTCTTAAAAGGTTTCCAACTGGTACTTTGTCTGAGAGGAGAGACAGGCCCTTTTTCTACGAGGTGAAGCTGTTACTTGATGTGTTCAATAGCCCTTTTGAATGAGCTTCCACTGCATTGTGCAGATGCTCAGGGATGTAAATATTGTGGCAGGCTGCCACCAGCACTACATCCTGCATTATTCCCACAGGGATGAGATCCCCTTCATCCTGCTCCACGAACAGGACCAGAACAGGACCAGCACCACATGGCACCTGAGCATCTCCCTTCACCTCTGCAAAGTGTCCCTGCCCATGGCAGCAGGGTTGGGAACCAGATGATCTTTATGGCCTCTTCCATCTCAAATAATTCGTGACTGATTCAGCTTTTCTGCTGGGAAATTTGGATATTTAAAATATTAACAGGTGCTGTGCAAGGACAGGAACTCTGTGAGGGTTGTTCATCTCAACTGAATTTCAGGTGACTTGCACCACTTAAGTCAGTCATCCTTTGGATGTGATTTTTCTTGGCTTGGTTTAGGCTGGATATTTGGAAAAGGTTGTTCCCAGAGGGTGGTTGGGCACTGGAACAGGCTCCCCAGGGAATTGTTCACAGCACTGAGCCTGACAGAGACCATGGAGTGTTTGGATAACACTCTGTGGTGGGATTGTTGGGGTTGTCTTGTGTAGGGCCAGGAGTTGGACTGGGATGGTTCTGGTGGGTTCTTTCCATCTCAGGACATTCTGTGGTTCTCTGACCCTGCTGCCACTCTCAAGTGTCACCATGCTGAGGGGTGGCACCATCTCCAGTCAGTGCCTCTTGCTGGATTTTGGAGGGGCCAAAATCAATCCCAGATCACTGGGAAAGCAGTGGAATTTATTTCTGCACCATTCAGGACTCAGCATTACATTGGCACACCTGGTTCACTATTCAGGAGGGATGCAGGATCTTTTTTGTCTTCCTTGCATCAATCCAAGCATGCATTGGAGGAAGAAAGTAAGTTTTTCAGGAGTAGCTTTAAGGAAGAGCCCTGAGGGTGCTGGATTTGTGTGTGGGTGAGGGACATCTCCCAACAGAGAGTTACTCCAAAGGAAGAAGAGCCAGGATGGAGCTGACAGGAGATGAGAACTGTAAAATGGTGTGAGGAAGCCAATGCTGTGCTCGTACAAAGAGCCAATATTGATACAGATGACAAGGCAGCACGTTGGAGATAAAGGCAGGGCTGAGACTGACAGCCGTGGGAAGAAGGAAATAAAAGAGATTCTTTATTATATTGCCTGGCTTTTCCTGCCTGTGAGTTAAGAGCCTGGATCTGAATTAAATACCAAGGGAATGGGAGATGGGAGCTGCGTGGGGGGAAGAATTGGATCAGTCTGAACCACCACTGTGCAGAAACAATGAGCAAGGGATCTGAAACCAGGGAATTTCCCCCCTCCCTGCTCTTTCCAATGCATTTCACAGGATTTTCCTTTGTGCTCCTGCCTGGTGTAATGTCACCTTGAGCCTCTTTTGGTGCTGTTTCCCATCACCTTGTTCCCAGGCTGGCAGTGTGGCTTGTGGTCCTTGATTTGGTTTCCAGTGGATTTCACACTGGCAGAGGAATTGGAGTACAGTGGTGTGTGCTGCTTGTGTAATGTTGATGATTGCAGGCCAGCCAGTGTGCTACTGTTAACAGTATGGCTGGGGACTCTGTTTGAAGTGTTAATTAGCAGCAATTAATAAGAAGTGAAAAATTAATACTCTGTGTCAGCTTTCTTTGTTAGTTAGTTCTATCAGCACTAAAGCTCAGAGCTATTTTGAAGCTGGTGGTTGCATAAGGGTTTGGTATTTTTGTCACATGGTGTTGGGAAAATACCGAAGTGCTCTCCTACCTTAACTGGTAAACTTGTTATTCCCAAAATAATCCAAGTAATGGCCTCTAATAGATACAGTTTCCTTGGCATGTGGATGCTCTTGACATGACGTTTCAAAACCAGTAAGTTGTCTGTAGCTTAAGCAAAAATTACATTAAAATAGAGTTTAAAAACCCAAAAACGTTGATGATGTTGCTGAATGTGCCTCAGAGATTCTGTATTTTCCTCCTTTTACTTGAACTGGGCTCAAATCCAGTCCCAGATGAGGCCACTGAGGATGGGTCCCAGTTGTGTTGCAGATACCTCGGGCAGGTTCCTGCTGATTTGCCCAGCCACTTTCCATTTCTGATGGGAAATTCCATGGTCCAGGGGTTTGAGTCCCTCTCATGGGTCTGGTGGCAGATTTGTGGCTTGGCTGTGTTAAAAAAAAAAAAAAAAAGGCAAATACTGTTGTTGTCTGGTTGGGCACCTTCAGCTTTTTATCAGCTCATAACTTAGTTTTATCAGCATCATAGAGGCATCACAAGATTTAACTACTATACCAAGAGGATTATGTTTCTTCTTGGTATTTATATTGTTACCCCTGAGCTCTCTTTAAGATGATGGATTTGTTGTGTTTAAATTGATCTCTGTGTTCCTCTCCATTCTTTGAATTTTTTTTTTTTTTTTTGGTAGACCCAGGTTGTCTTCCATCCTTGTCTAGTCCCTGGCAAAAAATAAAACAGCCACATCCACCCAAGGCTTAGCTTCAGCTGGCATCTCCCCTCCTCTGCCATTTAACAAGCCTGATGTAAAGTCCTGGTACTTAGCTAATTTATTATTAATGATATTTACGGAAGTGTCTTTATCAAAGGAGAAGTGGGGTTTTTTTTTTTACTTTCAGTAAACTGATTGCTTCTAGTTTCATGGTTAATTGAAACTTAATATACACTGGGGATGAGTGATGTGTATGTTCTGAGGTTAGCTGCACTCAGAATACTCGGAGTCTATAATACACTTAATTCATTAGCAAGTCTCATGTCAACAAAGAATAAAGATGAAGTGCTGTAGTGGCAGTGGGAAAAGGGTCATATCTGTGGAGTACTTAAAGTCTGCTGAGCACTGTGTGAAGAGAACAGCAACCATAATGCTCTGAATTGGGTTATGATCTTCTTTTCAAAAATACTTTTTTTCCTTTCATTAGCAGATTCCTTTGGGGTGGGGAACAAAAATTACTAACTTTGCCTGAACAGCCTTCAGTGGGGGTTGAATCACCTGCCTTGGTAATTTGCTTCCACCAGTGATATTTTTTGTGAAACACCTGTGGTTTTTGCAGGTTTTAATTGCAGCTGTGGTTGCTCAAGCAGACAGTCCCACCATGGTCCAGCTAATGGATATCAGACACTTGACATGCTCCTCATCTCTTTCAGTTCTAATATAACTGCTCACACACGTCCATTTCTTCTTTTAAATTTCCATAGGAGTGGCCTTAAAACCTGGGAGTGAGAATTCCACAGCAGAACACTCTCTTCCTTTCTGTTTTATAACCATCATATCTAGTCTTCTAGAATATGCCTCCAGAGCAGTAAAAGTTGAAAAAATCCCATATATTTTTACAATCTTATTACATCCTGCTTTGCCTGGCCTCTGGCAGTAAACTTCTTTCCTACTTTTAGTCACACATTTTGCAGAGCATTTGGCATTGGTGCTGCCAGAGCTGTATCTCTGTCATGCAGGATTTGGAGGCTTCTCTAATAAGCAGGACCAGTCCTCCCCATCAGATATTCTGGACACACACCTTCCCTACTGCCTGTCTTTGCTTTAGCATATCTTGTGTGAATAGCTGGTTCCCTCTGTGCCCATAACCCCCAGCTCTTGGTTTCTCTTTTTCAGTCGTCTTTTGACACCTCGTAATTCATTGGCATCCCGGAGTTTTACTGAAAAGCTCACTTTGGAGTTCTTTTTAATCTACTCCTAAAGGTGTATCTTGAAATACAGTTCTCATTTAGTCTGATGTCTGACTCAGGATCTGGTCTGCCTGCGTGCCCTTCTTCACATAGTTTTATCATTTCTCTGTGTTTTTATTCCACTTTGAATTTACTGTGGTCACTCCTTCTAGAAGAATCTCCTCTGCTAACATAACCCAATTTAAAATGAGTTAGTATTTGCTACCCTGCATGTTAAAACTGGTACAGTTACCCTAGGTCAGTCCTCATTCAATAAACAGTTGGAGCCAGCACTATTTCATGAAGGTATCTGCATTTTGCATGCTCAGTTTTATTTTCTACTGTTACTCCAGTTTCTTTCTCATGAGTATTTTTGCTTCAGTATTTGCTCTGATCATTATCACAAATCTTCCCCTTTGGAAGTTTGAATATTTATGGAGTGAGATACATCTCACACAGTGTTAACCATCCAAAAGCTGGAAATCAAGTGCTGAAATGGCTGGAGATGGTTTTTTTAGCTTAGGTTGTGCTGCCTTGTGGGCTCATCCTTCTTTCTCTCTGTTGGTGGAATTGAGAGCTGGAGGAAAATTTGAGATGTGAAGCCTCTGGGTGCTGTTTATTACCTTATTATCTTCTCTGTTGTCATTATTTTTGCTGTTGCTGCTCTGATATTATTGCCACTAAGGTCCTTTGTTGTGGTTTTCAGCCAACCCCAGCTTCAACTTGGAGACAAGAGCAGGATGGAGAGGTCACCATCAGAGAGTCATGGAATGTTTAGGCTGGGAAAGATGCTGAAGATTTTTCATTCCAGCTGTATCAAGATGGGATGACATGAAAACCATCGGGAAAGGCTGAGGGAATGGGTTGGTGTAGGTAGAACAAATCACTCACTGCTTTTTTTTTTTGTTTTCCTTGTAGGCTGTCCTCCTTGCTGCAGGATGAATTAGGAAGGCAAAGCCTTTTCCTCTGAGCCATGGAGACGAGGGCATCCTTCATTGCCAGCATGAGAGAGACCCAGCACCTCTCCCCAGAGAAGGATCCCAGCCCTGCCAATGGTGATGGGGAGCAGTTTGATTCAGGTGGGCTCCCCTTCACCCCCACTCCCCTTGTCACTGATACAGCTCCCCACAGGTAGAGCTGGGAGCCAGGGAGGCACTGGGAATGGTTGTAGAGCTCCAAGCCCTTTATTTGGGTCTTAGGGATTGGACTGTGATTGATGGGAAATAGGAGCTTTTCTTCTTCTGGACCTCATCTGCAGTATGTATCAGTTATTCAAAATTAAATAGCCATGGAAATCCTTTCCCAAGGCATCATCGTGTGTTCTCCCAGCTTCCCCACCATTTTTTATTCTGTTGAAGTTTTGTGGTTAAGAGAGAGAAACAAACATTCAGAAATTCACAGCATTTCTCCTTAGTTTTGACCTTCCCCCTCGTTTCCTTCACTGTTTTTTGGAGTGCTTCAGATGAGGGGGCTTCACAAACACTCAGGAGAGGAGAGCTGGTCACATGTTATCTTTGTGCTCACAACTGGCTGCTTTGTAATGCTCTGGGATGTGCTCCTGAAGGTGTGAGGATTTGCTGTGCTAGATTTGGGTGTTCTGTAGTAGGTGCAGAAAAGTAGATTCTACATTCTGGTTATTTTTGATGGAATCAGATGCTTTAACTTCCCATATCCAGCCTTAGCAGGAGGAGACTGTGTCATATGATGAAAAAGTACATTATGGCTAGATCTAACCTACTTTCTTTCTGAAGCCAAGTTTTTCCCTGCTTCTCCCTCAGTATGTCAGAAGTTTGGCCACTCAGCCTTCAGTTTCCTCACTTCTTGTAGCAGCTCAGTGATTTTCCTGTTTCCTTGGACACCAGATCCTTGGATTTCTAGAGTGGACATGTCTGGGCTGATCTAGTCACCACTGGATCTATTTTTATCTGTGGTACAGAGATAGGAGCCTCTAAGATGAGGTTCAGCTGGCCAGCCATAGACATTTTTTTGGGAATGAGAAGAACTGGCCTGCAGTGCCTAAATTTCAGTGGGGATAAGGATTTTGATGGCTCTCCCAAGGCTGTGCCAGAGGTTTGTGGGTGATTAGGCTGATTTGTATGTCTCCCTCTCCCTACACCTGTTGTGAGAGCATTTCAGTGCTCTGTTCACTCAGAAAGTCATGTATATGTATCTAGGTGCTATAAATAAGATGTCTAAGCAATTTGCCCTGAATACTTTCTCCTCACAGCCTGGGAAAAAAAAAAAATCTGTGTTTCTGGAGCCAAGGTTTGGGTCTTTTATCCCTTTTATTTTCCATAGCTGAACATCCCAGGGGGCTGTTAACAGGTGGAACAGTTGCATTTTTACAGTGTCAATGCATGAGCACTTTAAAGCCATTGAGAGGCTTGCAGATAATGACTTGTTGATTTTATTTGCCATCCCGGGCTTGTTTATACATCACCGTATTGTAAAGCAGCCAGCCTTGACTCTTTCATTAAGAAAGAGCTCTGGACCTAAGTGCCAATGGTTGGAAAGGGAGCTGGTATGTAAAACAGGTTTAATGGCAGATTTATCACCTTTCAGGGTGTCCTGTGCTCCTCAGCAGTTGGGTTTTTCTGATGGATGAGGAGATTTGTGTGCAGCCCTGTTGCATGTGTGGGTGGTGTTGGGTCCTTTGGGCTGGTCTCATCCCTGTCACTCTGGGACTGCTCTGGATACCCCCCTGCCAGAATTCCAGCAGGGAACAAAGTCCATTAAAAAACCATTTTGAAAACATACAGTCCCTTCAGAATTCGTTGTGGTGAAATGAAGCAAAATAAACCACTGATGCTGTGATAAATGAGTACTCTGACATTATTTTTACAGACCTTGTAAAAGTAATTTCCTGATAAAGTCTACAGATAAAACATGGTAGAGGAGCCAGGCTGGTGATGTGTCAGAGAGGAATGAGCTGACAGGGAGGGAAGGCTGCAGTGCTCACTCTGCCTCGCCTCTGGGCCTTGAAACCTTTTTATTTGGGTTTAGAAAGGAGAGATCTGGGTGATGTTTTGTTAAACCGGTGCTGTTGTGAGTTTTGCTGGGCAGCATGTGAAAGAAGCTGCCAGTGACAGTCTCTGTGCTGGCCCATGGCAGAGTAGGTCAGGGTTAATAAGGCTGTGAAGGACTTGATGCATCCATAATTAGCATCTATTTATATTTGTTAAAAAGCTTTTTCCAAATTCTGGAGAAGACTCTGACCTTTCTGGAGACATTGCTCCTTGCAAGGGCTGGAGATGATGCACTGAACTGACTGAAAACTCCTGCTGCTCTGTGGAATGAATCTTTCCCATAGGATTCCTGCTGAGGAAGGCTGGAGAAAAGGAGACACTTGCTGAAGGAGACTTGTCTTGACTCATAGAGGAGATGAGAACAAAAATAGGAATAAAAACTGAGAGCACACAGAGAGCATCCCAGGCTGAGGGAAAGGGCTCATGCTCTGAGATGGAAGTGCCTGACCAGGAGAGGAGAGAGCCTGATGTGGAAGTCACAGAATCACAGAATTATTTAGGTTGGAAAAGACCTCTGGGAGCTTTGAGTGCAGCACTGCTAAGGCCACACACTAAGCTGTGTCCCCACCTGCCACACCTTTTAAATCCCTCCCAGGGATGGTGACTCCACCACTGCCCTGGGCAGCCTGTTCCAAATGTCCTGCCCACGTCCTGAGGTGGAGATGCCCTTGGAATTGTTGGAACAGCCCATCCCAACCCCACAGACACAGGTGGATGCAGGAGCAGGAAGAGATGAGGCAGAGGGGATGATGCACTTTAAGCTTTTCATGTCAGGTGCTTCTGACTTTTGGTGGGATGGGGATTGGTTGTGCTCAGAGTAAAAAGTTACTTAAGCAAAATTAAGCCTGGAATGGAAAATCATATCTGCACATCTACTGATGGACTAACATACTTGGTTTTAGAGTTCTGAAATCTCTGCACACAGCTCTTCTCTGTAACATTAACTCTGCAGGGTTGCAGGCATGAAGGCTGAAAAATGTCCCTGTTCATCTAAATTGCCTGCCTGCATGATACAGAATTTTTCCACCAAGCTCCTACCCTGTGGTTAAGTTGTGGCTTATCATTCAGTCAAGGTTGAACTAACATCTCGTTCTGGGTTAGATATCTCAAGTAGAGCCAGCTTCTGTGCCTGAAGGTTTTTGCAGTGATTGCAAAAATCAGAACAAAGCCCATTCTTTATTCTGAGATGAATTTGTCTATTTTTGGATTGTAATCATGGAATTGGGTTATTTCTTGCTGAGTTGAAGAGTCATCTGGTAGCCTCTTTATCAGTGGAGTAAATGTTGATTTGCATCTCCATATTTAAGAAGATGACTCGAGTTTAGGGCAAGGAGTCAGACTTGATGCAGCAGCATGCAAATGTTTGACAGTGTTGACAGCTCAGCTTTGAACTCCCAGACAGATCTTTACCCTCCACCAGCTCTGTCTCAAAAATCCTCTTCTGATCCCCTTTTTTTTCCCCTCACCTACGTGGATCTGGTGCCACAGGCAGCAAATGAAAACTGTGTCTTCCCCTTTTAATAATGAGAGATTCCCCTTGCACAACATAATTTTCTCTGGTCCTGGAAACTGGAGACCTGTAGCAATAATTGCAATAAATTAACCCTGCCTTTTTCTTCATAAAACTGTCTGGGGAAGGTTCTTAATTCAGTTTGTCATGAGTCACTTTAATTACATCATGAACACACTGATGAATGTTTGGGCAGGTAAAGGGTCTTGCAGAGTTTGCCTGATAAATGCTTATTGCAAAGAGCTCATTGCTAGACTGTAAATATTTTTGCTCTGGGGATGAAACTGGGCTTGTGAGATTGCTTGGGAACAAAATGAAAACAATCAGATTTGGCTGATTTTCTGTAAGTGAAAAAAGATTTATTTTTAATTATTGCTCTCTGTTTTTCAGAGATGGTTTGGGGCCTTGGCTCTGCTTCAGTGTGGTTATAAAGGAAGAAAAGAAAGAGTGGTCGTGTCCAGCCCTTCCTGTGGGGAGGGATTGTGTGGGGCAGTGGTGTGGATGGGGGAGAAAGCATCCAGAGCCCCAAATCTGAAGGGGAGCAGGGAGTAGAAAGGCAGTAGGGGTCTAGTGAGGTGTGCTCAGAGATTTGGGAAAAGCAGCCTTGGGGGAAGAGGGAGGCATGAGGGGTTTAGCTGAGATTTATGGGTGCAGTGATGCTGAGGAGGGAGAGGGAGGGTGGCAGGAGTGAAAATGGATCTCACTCACCCCAAGGGTTGGGTTGTTTGGTCTACACAGCTCAGCCAACAGAATCATCTTCAGATTTATCACTGAGGCACTGTTGTAATAAACAGTGCTGGGGGAGCACTGTTAGGGCACAGGGACCTTGCACCTCAGTGACAGTGGGCAGGCAGCCACCTCCCTTGCAGCCTGGGAGCCATCAGATGCAAAATAAAAGAGCACAAGTGCCTGTTGCAGTGTGTGACAGTTTTGTGCCCCCACTGCCATGGAAGCAGAGTCGTGTCTGGTCTCAGTGTTGGCTGCTAAAGCCCCAGAGTCTGCTGAAAGCACAGTAAGAGCTGGTCAAAACACAGATCCTTAAAGCGAGCTTTCTGTTTTCCCTTCTGTTGATGTTTATACTGGTTGCTATTCTCACCCTGAACTCTTTGACACAACTTTTGCCTTCTTTGGCTGTGTTTTAGGCTGCTTTTCTTTCTCTCGTTTTTTAATTTTTTTTTTCTTTTAAACAGATGAGGGCTCCAGCATTGAGGACGCAGACTTCAACTGGGACGAGTTCCTGGAGGAAACAGGAGCCAGTGCTGCTCCCCACACCTCCTTCAAACATGTATGTGCTTCCTCTGAGCCTCCTGGGGGTTGTACATGTTCCCTCTTCAGGTTTTCAGGGGCTCCCTGGAGAGCTGTAGTGGAGTCTTAGCATTTTGGGGAGAAACTTTCCTCCACACATGTGACAGCCTGAGTGGGAGCAGCCCTCTAGCCAGTGTTAGGTGACCTTGGTGTGTTTGCAGTCACACACTGGAGTTCTGTGTCTGTGCCACTCCCTTATCCTCTGCCTTTGCATCATATTTTCCATTTTTGAGGGCTTGTGTTCCTCTCCTTTTGCTTATGACACACTCATTTTTTTTCTCTTCACCCTCTACATTCATTGTTGTCCATGCCAGCCTGTAGAGGTAAATCTCACGAGAGTCTTATTTCTCCAAATCTCCTTTTGATTTGCTGACTGGCAGAGTCACTCAGCACTGGAGTTCAGTGTGGCTCACAGGAAACCATCTCTCAGCCTCCTGCCTGGAGATGCTGTCTCAGAGGTGTGGGAAGCAGTGGCTTGGGCAGGTGGTGCTTTTCCTGGGTGAACATGGAGCATGCAGACAGCTGTGGCAGTGACAGGTCTGTGCTCTGCTCTCTGTTAGCACCAGCAGCATTTGGAGGCACCTCTGGAGATCACCTGGAGATCACCATCTTCATCTCCTGGTAATTTCCTGGCTTGTTTTGTAGGGCTAAAGGAGCTGCAGGGATGAAAAACTTCTCTTTTATCTAGATCTGAAAAACCAGTACAGTCCTCCCTTCCCTATTTTGCTTTCATTTTAACAGCAGTTAACCCAGAATATTGCAGGGTGAAGGATCATAATTCTCGATACTGGAGATTTGTAGGGCAATGCTTATTGTGGAGTTTATTCTTGATCCAGCAGTTGTTTGGAGAGAGTATCTTGTCCCTGATTTCTGCTCAAGCCTCAAAGTAGAAAGTTTTGTGCTTCATGAAGCCCTTAAGGATGTCTTCAGTTGTGTGGAGATGCCCAGCTCGTCCTGCTGACTGCAGTGTCTCACAGCACCTCAATCCTGGGAATGTCAGTGTGGGACAGATTGGTGCTGGGAACAGTCCTTGGAGACTGCTTCACAATCCAGAACTTGATCCTCAAAAATCTGTTCAAAAAACCTGAAAGCTGTCAGAGAAGATTGTGTTATCTGTCTGTCTGATTCTACTCTTGATGTGATTTCCAGTCACAAATTCTTGGCTTCCAGAGTAGCCTGTTGGTGTTAAGGTGAGCTCAGGGAGAAAACCAACAAATGAATCACTCTGCAGGCATCAGGCTCGGGTGCTGTGAGCTGCAGCTCCCAGTCTGTACTGGGAGGAGGCCAGGAGATCCAGTTTGTACTGGGCCATGGGCCAGTCTGTTCCCTGGGTTACTGATGAGGACTCTGAGCATGAGATCCTGTTTTAGCACTGAGTAAAGCAGTGCATGTCACAGACCACCTTCAGTGTTACTCCATCTTCACAGGTCCCTCTCAAGTGTTCTGTGACTCTGGGCATTGTTTCTGCTGGAAATGCCCACACAAGGAAAGGCACATGGACTGAAAATGTTGAATGGGTTTGTCTGGGCAGCCCTGAGGGCAGAAGCTGGAGTTGGATGAGTGAGGGATTACTGCTGATGGGTCAGAGGAGTGTTTTCTCAGCAGCTTGGCATCCCCATGTCTGTGAAATCCTCAGTTGACCAAGAAGGCCGTGTTATATTTAACTTTGTAAGTAAAAGAGTCATTTTAAACTGCAGTTTCAATTGGAAATCAATCAGAGACAGGCTTACCTAGATTTTTAATCCCTCTGGATTCAGTAGCTGATAAGGTTCTAAGAAACCTGTAAGAACCTGTCCTTAAACATCTCCTGAGGAGTGACAGGTTACATTTTGGATGGTTTTTAATGAAGACAAGGCTGGCACCTGACCAGTGCACTGGCATCCACCTCTTCTTTATCAACCCCAGCTAGAGGCATCCCACTGGTCCTTAGAACACAGGTAGTGCTACAGCAGGCCCTGGTGTTCATTAGCAGTGTCCCAGGAGAGATGCACTAACATCTCCAGGCAAGCTACAGGTGACCTGTCACTGCTGAGATACATGGAAGTGACATCTCCATCAGATGGTAGGACAGTGACCCAGACTTCTTTCAGTGACAGGTCATACCTTGTTTTCCAGGGTCTGGGAGAGGGAATTGGGTGAGGCTTGGGCTGCTAAGGATGGGTACAGTGGAAATTCTCTCCTTGGTCTGCCTGGTACAGCATTCAGCCCTTGATGCTTGTCAAGCCTCTAGAGGTGCTTCAGTGCTGTTATGTGACTAATTATTGGAGTTGGCCTTAACTCCTAGAGGTGCTTCATACCTGCCTTTCTGTGTCCTGTGATTTGCCTGGTGGAGCTGTGCAGTGGGAAATGAAACTTCATTTGAGTTGTGCTGACTGTGCCTGAGGCATTAGTGACACTTAGGGATTGAAGATGAGTGCCAGTCCACTCTTGGACACCTGAAGGTACCACTCTGCTCTTTGGAACCTGTGGGACTTGCATGATGGGATATGAGCCAGTGAAGTAGGAATGGAACTGCCCAGACAGGTGGAGAAGGAGGTGCTTGGATTAAGAAGCACAATCAGCTCATGTCCTATTCCAGGGCTGCTCTTTAAGGGCAGCATTTCCAGGGGATGGGAGAGGGTCTCCCTGCAAAGCACAAAAATGTGACGCCCACGCCTTTCTCATTTTGCAAGGTTGAAATCAGCCTTCAAAGCAGTTTCCAGCCAGGGATGAAATTAGAAGTGGCCAACAAGAGCAACCCAGACACATACTGGGTGGCCACCATCATCACCACCTGTGGGCAGCTGCTGCTGCTGCGTTACTGCGGCTACGGCGACGACCGCAGGGCAGACTTCTGGTGTGATGTGATGACTGCAGACCTGCACCCCGTGGGCTGGTGCACGCAGAACAACAAGGTCCTGATGCCTCCAGATGGTGAGTTCTGCCTGGGTTGTTGGGGTCATGCTCTGGTGTTGGGCTGTGGGTTCATCTCCAGGTTTCTGCTTGGTGTGGGATGGGTATTCCAGGTCCTCAGCTGGTGGTGGGTGATGTGGGCAGGGTCCCCGCAGGATTCAGTTTGCCAGTCAACCTCCAGCAAAGGCGTTTTTTCCCTGGTTGGTAGCAGCAGAAGGCACTTCCATAGGGAGATGTCTTCTTACTGCTCAACTGTAATGCTGTGATTTTCACTTCGGGGAGAAAACTGTCTTGTTCTTGTAGAAAGAAGGGTGAAATTCAAGAGCGAGAACAAACTAAGATAATCAAAATGAGTTTGAGTGTAACCAAAATCAGAAGCTGACTTTGCACTCAAAAGTGTTTTGCCCTGAAAGTTTAAAAACTTCTACCACCGGACTCTGGCAGCTTTTAATTCTAATGGTAGATGCATGTGATTAAAGGTAGCAGAATTTGGTCATTATTGGTTAGGGCATGTCCTGATTGGCAGCTCTTAGATGCACAAGAGCTGAATGCAAGTGGTGGAGGTTCCTGAGTGGCCCATGTGGAGGAGTTTGTTAATAATACAATTTGATCCCCAGCGTGTAAGAATATGAATATATATACACACATAGGCTATGTTCATCAGCAGAGCAGCTGTGGTGTACTCTTGCTGCTACATTGCTCCAAGCAGAGGCATATTGTCAGTGTTTCTCCTAAGTATTCCTGCCATATATATCCCATTTATTCTGGATCAAGGGAAGAAGAGATGAGTATTCAGCCTCCAGCTTGTGCATACATTTAAGGGAAGTCTCATTTAAGAGTTCTGCTGCTGAAGTAACTCTTTCCCTTTCTGCAATGTGTGGCCATGGAGAACAGTGCATGAAACAGTGCATGTGCCAGTTGTGTGCCATGTGGGAATTCTCCTGGAGTAAGTGTTCCCTGATTTCCCCCTGAAGTGAGCTGTAGACACAGTCTTTGAATCAAAGCTGACATTCCTGCCTTGCATATGCCCAACTGTGAGCTAAACTTATCTTTTTGTTCTGGTCTGTGTGTTTTGAATAAACACAAGATTGATTGCTTTAAAAAAAAAGAAGTCTTGAAGATAAATACAGCTGAGAAATCTCTTGGCTTAGTACCAGTAAATCAAGCTGATGTGAGAGGGGTGAGGTATTTTATTTTATTGGCCTCTTAAACTACATTTTATTATGGGGATTACAATCAGTGTTACCAGAAAGGTGTACAGTGCTGCAGACTAAATCTCAAATGTGGGGTCAGGGGGGTAAGAGAGCTTACTGGATGTCATAATAGAAAACAACAATTCCTTTACAACCTGAGGCAACTGCTTTCAATGGGTCTGATGGAATTTGCCCTTTGGGTCGTGGCCACTCTGTGTGAGTTACCTTGCTTGAGTGACTGCAACTGTGCAGTGTGTCCTGCATCCCTTCTTCTCTGGTGGGTGATGTAACTGTACACCAGGGTGTTGAATGTGGGCAGCTGCCCTGTTTGGGTTTTTATTTTCCCCCTCCCACTTCTATTTTCAGTGAATAAACTATATTGAATATGTCACAGTATTATTTTCAAAAATAATAAATTAAATGCATGGGTTGTTGTTATTTCAAAAGAGATTTAAGCATTTCAGAGGTTGGCTCATATTTTGGGATGAGGCATCTGAAATGTCTGAGAGGATCTGAGCCTTCAGGACTTACGGAATCATAGGACCTATGCATTGGTAAAAGAGAAACTGATGTTCTTTATGAACTCTGGGGAGATTTTTTTAAACCTCTTTAGCATTGCACTTTATTTTGTTGTCAAACCTCTGGGAGAAAGAAAAACCAGCCTTAAGTTGCATGGACCCAATTCCGAAGGCATGAATTCTGCACATTACAGTGGTTGGCTAGAGCATGCAGAGAGCATGGCCAGGTTGTCTGTCATTAGGCTGGGATTTTAATCAGGAGCTGAAGGCTTGGGTTAAAAAGCAGAGTTGCCAGAATGGACTTGTTTAACAGCCAGAATGACAGCATTGGGACAATGCTTTGCTTCTGCTCACGAGTCAGCTTGGACTGATCGGTGCTCATCTCGTAAATGTGATGCCAGACAAGAATGGTAGAGTGATGGGACAAAGAATTTCATTAGATGGGAGAGAGATGCAACAAAATGGGCTGGTTCAGTTCAGCAGATCAATAGAACTTGATTTAAAGTCCAGCACACACAGAGCTTTTAAGAGGCGGCTGCCAAATAATTGTAGTTTATGATCCAAATCGAAGGAAGTTGATTAATTTGCAGACTGCTGCGCTGTTATTTATGGGGTGACATTAGTTGCATCATGGTGCCTGTGGCCTGTGAGTAAAATGTCAAGTCATGTTCTGTCCTTCTGTGACGTGATGGTGTAGTCACCAGATCAGAAATACCTGAGGTGGCAATAAAATGTCTTGGTTTATGGCAGGATGGTGTCAGTGCACGTGTGCCTGTGAGCTTCACACTCCAACCCCCTCCTCCACAGGAAATCAAAGGAGTAAAATTGTAGTTACTTCAAGCTTTGCCATTAATTATATTTTTCTCATTACAAATCGGTGTGTAATTTGAATTGCAAACTCAACTATCCTGGCAGAATAGATCTGTTTACCATTCAAAGCAAAATGAAAATTATTTAAATTAGTTAATATAGAACTCATTTGAATGAATTGGATGTTTATTCATGAACTAGCTGAGGCAAGTGTGAAGCTGTCCTTATGGTCTGTAGCTTTGGCACTGATCAGCTCTAATGTCACGTCCTGGGACAGAGATTTCTTCTTTATTGCATATTAACCGTGGTGTAAGCAGTGGGTAACTACTGCCTGATGTAGCTGAGTGTGAAATTTTCATCCTTCCTGACAGGGCCCTTCAGCAATTGTAATTCGTATGAGGAAGGGAAACCTGCTTCAAAGTTCACTGGCAGGGCTGTGGTGGTGTGGGAAGCTTTGTTTCCTGCACTGTAAAGGTGGGAAGTAAGGTAGATTTTCCATCAATTAGTTAAAATTTCTCTATTATATCAGCCTGCATGGAAACAGGGATAGCGTTTATCCCCTTCTATGTCTTGCCCAAACATTCTCTCCCTCCTCAAAGTGCGGTTGTTTGTTGGCATCCTTCATCCCTTGGGCTGTTTCACCCGTTGAGCATTAAAAATTTAAGCCTAGCTTAACTTTCCTGACTAGTGGAAGGAAACGAGGTGTCCTTTAGCCTGTTCATTTCCATGTGCTGTTTTCCTGTGTTGATGACAGTTGAGTTCATGGGCACATCCACCATCGGGCACAGGAGCGGCGTGGAGAACCTGACAAGTGTAGCAGCTAAATTATGCATTGTGAAAGAGCAGGGACGTCCTGTGATTGGCACTGGGGGGGTTTTAGTCCAGATTGCAGATTTACAGCTGAGCTGACAGAGCCCAGTCTCTCCTGGCACTGTTGTAATGCATCCTGGAATGAGCTGAAGACGCCGGATGACGGGATTGTTGTGTGTGCTTGTAATTGCAGCAGTGGCTCTGCTTTAATGTTATTGACAGATGGAAATTCAAACAGGGCATTTCTGTGAGCTGCAGTCTGCTTGCCTTGCTGACCAAGAGGCTGGAGATGGAAGGAAGCAGCAGGGAGAGAACCAGGTCTATATTTTGATTTTTGCAGTGGACTGGTGCAGATGGGAAAACCTCTGAACACTGGGCTTGGTGATCAAGAAGATCAGTCACACTGTGATGCTGTGTTGGGAAGCAGCTTTTACTTCCCTCTGGCATCAACACAAGGAGGATTAAAGTTCAGAAGTCTGATCCTGGGTTGAAATAACCTTCTCTTTCATGGTGCTGAGCTTGGTAAAGTTTAATCATCAAATATTATCATTAAGAGGGGTAGACTTAAAGCACTGTGCCTGCCCAGGCTTTCTGTGAAGGCAAACACCAACCATCATTTGGTCACTGTTTGAGACAGGTTTTCATGTGGCTCTCAGGTGAGATTAACTTCTATCTCAGATCTAGGCCAAAGGAGGGAAATTTCACTGTGATTCCAAGTGCTGGGTCAGGATATGGTTGAAAAAGGAGATAAAACTTGTGCCACAGCATGTTGGGTTGCCTTCAAATGACAGCTTACTGCAATTTTTGGTTGGTTGGTTTTATATATTATCACGTGAATCTATCACAGAGCAAAATCCTGCTCTTTGAGGTCACTAGTGTAAAGGAAGGGAGAAATGGATCTGGTTGGCCTTGTGAAAATTTACAGCATGTTGATTCTGAATGGATTCTGAATGGCCAGAACGTGGTCTGCTGTATTGCAGGTGTGGAATTGGTGTCACTCCAAGACACACAGAAGGTTTTTTTTGGGGTCACAGCTCAGAGTGGTGGTGGTGTGGTCCATACCCTTGGCTTTCAGCATCATTTTTGGAGCTCCCTTGCTGAATGCAAGGCTTATCCATAGGTTTTTAAAAGAGGGACACGAAGATCAGAGATAATGTTTCTGACAATGGATGAGGGTGCCCAGAGATTCCCTTTCAGAAAATACAGTCATGGATACATGGATATTTTTGTTGTTGTTGTGTTTTTATTTTGTTTTTTTTTTTTTTAAATGAAGGTATCTTCTCCCTGGTAATCTCATCCCAGCGGAAGTAAAAATTAAACAGTGCCTGCAGGTCTGTGATTACAGAACAGGTCGAGGGGTCAGATGGGCAGGGTGGACTTCTCCTTTTGCTTTTTTACTGGTATGGAGTGCAGATCTGGCCCCAGTTTAGCTCTTTCACCTGAAATATTACTTCCTAAAAGCTTGAGGCTGGAGGAAAATAAGTAGGCATTCACTGAGCTTATGCTGTTCTACATCAACTAAGAACTGGGCCCTTGAGCCAAGTAAAATGAAACTCGGAAATCTTCTTTGGCAGGTTGTACTGTCAAAGCCTGTGGATGTTTCTAAAGCAGTATACAGGGCTGTTTTTTAAAATCTCTGCCCAATCTTTATCCTGTTATTCCATCAAAATTGAGTTTAGACTAACCTAAT